CTGAAGTAAAGAAACCAGCACCATGCAGCAGTCATGAGGACTCAGCCTTCCTGCAAACCACTGCAAATGCAGCAGTTAGCTGCCAAGATGGCCATGAGTGAATGCTCTGTAATTCCTTCCTATGCCATGGGCAATCTCTTGTGGCACCACAGGTGCCAGTCAGAGGCAGAGGTGCCTCATGATGCTTGTTTACTCAGCAGGAACTGTCTCTGCTCATGGCCAGGCAAGAAAATGTCTGATGTGCATCAGCTGTGGAAGGCACAATTAGGAGCACAGAAAGGGGACCCATGCATCTTAGGGAAAGAGAGAACTGGAAGGATAGTGCATCAGTACACCAGGCACCCAGAAGGGGAAAGGCATTTTTCACACCTTCCTTCTGGCACCACAGCATATTCTGGCAGGGCTGTGGCAATTCACCTGGGGTGTTACATCATTGGGGCCTGGCAAAAAAATGCTGAAAAGAAAGAAGTTTCACCAGGCACCCAAGCACGGGCTACTGGCACAACAGCATTGTTGGAAAGGTACTGAGATGTCAATGAGTCACAGGTGCAGAGTCACATCAGAAAGGGTATACCAGTTTGTCCCCTCCCAGTCCGGTTTCAGAAGGAGTTGCTGGTCCTGCTAGTGGTATTTTCCATGTAAACTTGGCAGAGCTGGTGATGCCCAGGATTAGCTTCTCTTAAGGGAGGGAAGGGAAAGCCAGGTGATACTTGGAGTTGTGCTAGCCTGATCCTCACACAAAAAGAATACTGGGCACTTCCTGGGCTCTGCTTTTTTCTCCTGCCTGCATAAGAACCACATCACTCAGTGGAGACTGGCTGGGAGGGTAGAGGGAGGGACAGAAAAGCCCAAGAAAGCAAATGCAGTTACGCTACCTAGGTTGGACTGATGCAACAGCCATTAGGGGCATTGCAGGATTTGCCTGTTTCAGAGAGGAAAGTAAATGCCATGACTGCTTATTTGGTGGGGTTTTCCTTACTCTCTGACAATTTCCCGCTCCCCCTCCCTTGCTCATGCACCACACATGACAGACCTCAGAACAGCTGCAAACTCTCATTGCTGTACAGAAAACAACAGTCCCTATTTTCTTTTAACTTAAATATGATAAATGTCAAAGAAAATATGAGAAATTACTTTGGCCTGAATCTCAGTATGGACAACAGTGAAAGTCAGATTTAAGGCAATTTTCTTTAAGGCAATTATCTCATATTATCTTACATGTCTTGTAGAGCATTGCTATCCTGCTTCAGGAGAGGAATATTGCCACCTTTCCAAAAGCACCAGGCTAAGCATCAGCTCTACACAGTCCAAGGCATCCTGTCTAACACAGCACAGAACTCAAAGCCATGATTTCACACAAAAAGAGGAAGCTGTTCAGGAGTATCTAGGAGAGAGAGCCTGCAAAGGAGGACTGCACTATCAGGCATTGGGAGGCTGCAGCACACAGGCAGAGCTGGGGCCCAGGGCTGGACCAGCAAAGGCTGAAGGGCAGGAGTGTTGAAAGATGCTTTGGGCTGGATGAGTCACAGATAGGAATGGAGGGCACAAGCTGAGCTGCATGGATGACATTTCCATAGTTGCTGTCTGCAATAAATGTGGATCTTGCCTCTGCCCTTGGTCTAGTCATCCTCATGGATCCCGTGGAGCCATGGTTGGTTGGTTGGTAGGTTGGTTGGTTGGTTGGTTGGTTGGTTGGTTGGTTGAAGCAATTTCAAGCCCAAGAGTAAAGCTGGAGCTTCCTGGAGCAGTGCTGCTGTCCACACACTGGGTGACTTCATGCATGTATACACACCAGGGAGGTACATCCAGCAGTAATGACCCAGGACCTGCAGCTTTAAACTCCAGCTCTAAGTGTTGCGTCAGGTTATATAAAGTTCAGTTGCATCACACACTGTTTCACAATGCAGCCTGATGGCAGCATGCCATCTTCATTCATCGATCAGGTCTCATCGGCCACAGCAAGCTGGTCAGGAGAGAGATGTCTGCTCCTCAGGTTACCCCAGTGTGGGAAAGCCTCTCCCAGATCACCACACCCTCCCAAAATGTGCAGGGGGAGTTGCCACCCAGTCCTCTGTGGTATTTGGCACAACAGCAGCACAAGAGCCCAGTAGGTGAGCAAGGCATGAGCTGCCCGGGTGGCTTCCTCTTGACCAAAGCTGAGACCGTGTCTTTTTGATCAGACCCTCTGCATGCACTGCTCCACAGGAAGCTCTGCCAGGCAAAATGTGCCATTTCAGAGCCCAGGACCCACCTCAGCGTGGTGTATCAGTGTGGCACCTCTTGCAGGTGGTCTTGGTCAGCTCAGCCCGGCACTAAACCCAGCTGATGTAACTGCTGCTCTAGGCATTGCCACCAGGATCTGCAGAATGCATCTGCAGATCAGCCAAGGATAGGGCACAGCACCGGCACTGCCCTGCTCTAGCAATTCATGCCGTGGACTAATGGGAGAGATGGTGAATGGCTCTTCAAGGGGCAAAGGTGACAAGAAAGCAGTTGGAAATCACAGTCCACCAGGAGCATACTTGAAGTTCAAAGGAAGTTTGTTTATCTCCAGAGAGCCCCTGCTCAACACCCCTCCCTGGATGTGCTGGGCCACCCATGGTGGCAGGCTCAGCAATGTTCAGTGGATTCACTGCTATTGTGTGAAACGCTGCCTCCTTGCCAAACGGCGCCCCTCCTCTGCTAAAAGCGCAATCCCGCGATGAACCACTCTAGGGCGTGGCATTGCAAGCAGCGGCCCATCCACCAGGATGAACTGGATGAGAGCCCTGGAGCATGGGAGTATCTCTTCTGGGAGGGGTGTAGGGGCACCTACCTCTGCAGCGAGGTGCTCTGTCCCCCTCCAGTGGCAGAGACCTACAGGAATCAGACCTACAGCTACCAGGCTTCACTACCCAGCTCACCAGCCACAGCCATCTCACGCCTTCCATAGCAGAACGTGGGCATTTTGTCCATCAGGCAATGTCACATATCATAGTCATGGTGGATTCTGAAGCCACCAAGGCATTGTACCACGGAAGTCTTTGGCGAGAAAGGTGCCCACGTGTGTGGTCCAGTAGCCTGTGGGAGACCTCAGACAACCAGACCCTGATCCTGTGCACATCTTGACATCAGCAAAGGCATAACAGGCCATCATGGCTCCTATATTTACTAAAAAAAAAATAGTTTTTGACTTCTGCTTCTTCTCTGCCCAAAATGCTGTTGCTAGAAATGGAGGAAGGATATCCCCAGTGTCTCTGCATACAGAACTATACATTTGGTCTTGCATTTGTCATGCCTGCATTTTCCTTGTGGGGCTGTAATTGAGCAGGGACGTAGACTGCTTGTCTGCAACCCTACCTGCCCCTGCAGTACATGTATCTTCATGGGGATCATCCCAGCTCTTCTGGAAGATCACAGGAAAGCCCAATGAAACAGGGATCCACCCAGATTGCAGTATGGAGATACTCAGAATATTCTCCTAGAGCAGTTGCTGGTAAGATGGCAACACAGCACAAGAAGACATGGACCCAACTTCCCTGCAGACCAGATCAGCTTCATGCAGCAGGAACATCCTCCAGCCTGGGAATGAATTTGGCACAGGGAGGATGAAGGTGAGAGGTCTGGGAAGATAAAGGAGCCTGACAGGTTGGCACGTCTTGTTATTTTCCTCTGTGCAATGACAGGAGGAGAACATATCCACACCTTCATGACTGATATTGTACACTAGCTGCAACAGGAGCACATGCTGGGGAAGAGAGTTACAACCAAGCCACGGCCCAATCTCCAGAAGCTATTTGCTCCCTCCAGGAAGGTACTCTGCAGCCAACACCTGGCTTTGTCAGGTTTGCTCAGCCTATTGAGCAGGATGAGGGTTTAATACCAGCCAGTCAGGCTGAACTGTGAGGGCACATTGAGCTGGACAAGGGCATGGACAATTTGTTGGGCCTACTGTGACCTCTGCTGGCTTGGTCTGAAATTGGTGTGCTGGTTGGCCTTGACTCACCAGAGTGCGGTGGGAGCTGGTCCACCTGTGGCAAGGCTCTCCAGAGCTTCCACACTGCAGTCCCTGGGGATTGCAGCCTCCAGACATGTCTTTGCTCTCACTCCTAATGTAAACAGAATGCAACACCCTTAACACCTCTGGAAAGAAAATTTGCCCCAGTCCTCATGACAACATCCTTCTGTGGTCCCTGGGCATGCCAAGTTTAAGTTGTGATCCCCCTAGAAAATGATATGGGGTCAGGGAGTACCACTTTGAGACAGCAGGCTCTGTGAGACCATGGTGTCCTGCTCCAAGTGGACTGGTGATTCGTGGGGTCCCACCACAGGCCTCCCTCATCCTGCTACTAGTGTGGACATTAGAAGGCCTGTGCTACGGAAGGGACCCTCTTGTGAAGGATGCAAATGATGCCCTTGAAAGACTATGACCATGAGAGGCCATGACAAGTGCCTGCTTCGGTCTGCTATAGATGAGCCTTGGAAAGGTCACCCCAATTAGCAGAACAGCTCACCTCCTTCAGCTGCTATCTCAGGGTCTGAATCTTGATCCCTTTTTCTCCAAAAACAATGCTGATTTAAAAGTTTCTGGCCTTTCCTAAGCCTGGCTGCTTGTTCCTGAATCCATGCTGCAATGTTCTGCCTTCTCAGGGCCATACTGATGAGAAATTCTCCTCAGCAGCAAAGCTGCTTAGGAAGCTCCTGCCCTAGCTTCATGTTCTGGACCCTGCACAGCAATGTGTCCTTCCTCTTGTCCTTCACCCCCTGTGGTGCCACTACCACAGAGACAGCTCATTCATAGAAAAGGTTTGGGTTAAAAAAAAAAAAAAGAAAAAAAAAGAAAAAAAAGAAAAAAAAAGAAAAAGAAGAAGCTTCTAAAATTAAAGCAAGTTTTGTGCCCCTTTGTAACCCTCTCTGTGATCCAGGTTGCAGATGATAGCAGTAGCACAACCAAAGGCGCAGTCAACCTCAGCACAGGGGACAGAAATCTCTGGCCATTTTTGCTGCCAGGAAAACTGCAG